ATGACAGACTGTCTTTCCAAAAGTATTTTTACATGGGGCCCCATGCTACTTTGAAATCAGCCCTGGACCAGCCCATTCTCACAATATTGGAAAAATCCTTTACTTTGTTATTTATTAATTAGAATTTCAGTGTTTCTCAACCTTGACAATTTTAAGGCATGTGGACTTCAACTCCCAGAATTCCACAGCCAGCACCGCTGGCTGTGGAATTCTGGGAGTTGAAGTCCACATGCCTTAAAATTGTCAAGGTTGAGAAACACTGAATTAGATCTTTAGGCCTTCTAATTCTCAGGATCATGTTGAAGAAACATGAAAAGAAGGAAATAAAATACAAGACTACATAGTAGACATGATCCTGATGGTGTACAAAGTGCACCCATAACTTCTTAGGCTGCAGCTTCCACAGGATTTTCAAGGGCGACCCCATGTGCAGCACATTGCAGTAGTCTAGACAGAAGAACCTGAGTAATCATTATGAATGCTGCCATGCAAGGGGCTTTGACTGAAATCTCTTTTCTGCTGCAACCCCATCTAGAAACAGCTATGATGGAAGAAAGGAAAACAACGTAACACACCATGTCTCCCATTCCTAATCCTTGAAGCTGAAGCAGCAAGATAATAGAGTCAATGCTATTGAAAGCCACTAAGAGACCAAGAAGAGCTATGATATGCATTTCCTCTGTCCCAGTATCACGTTGTTTGTCTGAAACTTGACTGGAAGGATACAATAACCCATTGCATCCTGGATCCTCCCTACATGTAGTCCTCACTAACAGCCATCTGTTTAGCAACCTGTTCTGTTCTGTTCTGTTCTATTCTATTCTATTCTATTCTATTTTAATTCTATTCTATTCTATTCTATTCTATTCATTTATTTATTTATGAGACTTATATACCGCTTTAAGTGCAAGCACTCTCTAAGCGGTGTACACCAGTAAGCAATGTATATATATATATATTTACATTGCCCCCAACAATCTGGGTCCTCATTTTACCTACCTCGGAAGGATGGAAGGCTGAGTCAACCTTGAGCCGGTGACATTTGAACCGCTGACCTGCTGAACACAGTCAGCTAAAGTGGCCTGCAGTACTGCACTCTAACTGCTGCACCACCTCTGCTCTATTCTATTCTATTCTATTCTATTCTATTCTATTCTATTCTATTCTATTCTATTCTATTCTATTCTATCTTATCCTATCCTATTTTAATTCTATTCTATTCTATTCTATTCTATTCTATTCTGTTCTTTCTCTATTCTATTCTATTCTATTCTATTCTATTCTATTCTATTCTATTCTATTCTATTCTGTTATTTCCTTATTCTATTCTATTCTATTCTATTCTATTCTATTCTATTCTATTCTATTCTATTCTATTCTATTCTATTCTATTCTATTCTTTCTCTATTCTATTCTATTCTATTCTATTCTATTCTATTCTATTCTATTCTGTTATTTCCTTATTCTATTCTATTCTATTCTGTTCTGTTCTGTTCTGTTCTGTTCTATTCTATTCTATTCTATTCTATTCTATTCTTTCTCTATTCTATTCTGTTCTGTTCCTTCCTTATTCTATTCTTTCTATTCTATTCTATTCTATTCTATTCTATTCTATTCTATTCTATTCTATTCTATTCTATTCTATTCTATTCTGTTCTTTCCCTATTCTATTCTATTCTATTCTATTCTATTCTATTCTATTCTATTCTATTCTATTCTAATTCTAATTTTAATTCTAATTCTAATTCTATACCATTCCATCCCTGTTCTATTCCTATTCTATTTCTATTCTATTCCATTCAATCCCTGTTCTAATCATATTCCTATTCCTATTCCACCCCATCCCATCCCACTCCAGTCTAGCTCTCATCTAAGTCTAAGTCTAAGTCTAGGTCTAATTCATTGGACATTATGATGGCACTGAAAAAAAAAAGTGACAAAAGACCAGTCCCTGCACTTAAGACAGCTGCAGTGTCCCCGCAGATACAGGACTGTGATTCTGGCTATCGGCAATCGTTGTGCATTTACGACAATTGTATCATCCTACATTCATGTGATTGCCACCTGTGACTTCCCCAATCAGCTTCTGACAAACAAAGTCAATGGAAAAGCTGGCAGGGAAGGCAACAAGTCACTTAATAACCATGATGATTCTCTTAATGACCATGCCCCAAAAGATAAAATTGGGTATAGCCACACGATGCCTCACTTAATGACTGCACTGCTTAAACAATAAATCTTCTGGTGTAAGTTGAGATACTTATGGCTTGCAAGCCAATCATATTCTCAACAAGTTTCCTCCAAAAATGACTCAAATCAAACTGAGCTCCAGTTACCTACAAAGGGCCTGTGCAACCAGAATCTAACCTAGAATTAATCTAATAATAATATAATAATAAAGTTGGAAGGGACCTTGGAGGTCATCTAGTCCAGGGATAGGCAACCTTGGCTCTTTTTATGACTCGTGGATTTTCAACTCCCAGAATTCCTGAGCCAGCATGGCTCAGCTTGGAAACCTCTCCCTTTCCCCTCAGCGTGGCTGGCTCAGGAATTCTGGGAGCTGAAGTCCACGAGTCATAAAAGAGCCAAGGTTGCCTACCCCTGGGCTAAGTTAACGAGATTATCTGGTTTGGATGTGGATTAGTATTTAAATTGGGTATCATCTAGTTATTGACTATGTTGGAAATCCATTCATTAAGGATTGCTTGTCTGCAAATAAATTACTCTTTCCTCAGAAATATATAAAAAAAATCTTTTCTCCATTTTTAGGCATTCAGCATAGTTTTAACATTGAGGAGAGCTTATAACAGGGGTCTTCAAACTTGGCCCTTTTATGACTTGTGGACTTCAACTCGCAGAATTCCTGAGCCAGCATGGCTCAGCTTGGAAATTTCTCCCTTTTTCCTCAGCATGGCTGGCTCAGGAATTCTGGGAGTTGAAGTCCATGAGTCATAAAATAGCCAAGGTTGCCTACCCCTGTTCCAGACAGTGACAAGGACTCCAGGCAAACCACACATTCAATATAGCCCCAGTCACCATTCTTCCCCTGAGGCCCTGCAGATCTGCAAAACCGCCCTGTAATCTATTCTGGACTGGTAGGGACTGGCTGAATTTCTCTCTTTTGAGGTAGGCAGCTCAAGTCATCTTCATCTTCTGGAGTGTTGGCAGGAATAGGCAACACTCCAGAAGACAGGCTTAGGATACAGGAGGATCTGGACAGACTTGAACACTAGGCGCTATCTAACAAAATGAAATTCAATGGTGAAAAAAGTAAGGTTCTACATTTAGGCAAGAAAAACCAAATGCACAGATATAGTATAGGGGGTACCTTGCTCAATAGTAGTAACTATGAGAGGGATCTCGGAGTCCTAGTGGACAATCACTTAAAAAGGAGCCAGCCATGTGCTGCAGCTGCCAAAAAAGCCAACACAGTGCTGGGCTGCATTAACAGAGGGATAGAATCAAGGTCAGATGAAGTACTAATACCACTTTACAATGCCTTGGTAAGGCCACACTTGGAATACTGCATCCAATTTTGGTCACCACGATGTAAAAAAGATGTTGAGACTCTAGAAGGAGTACCGAGAAGAGAAACAAAGATGATTAGGGGACTGGAGGCTAAAACATATAAGGAACGGTTGCTGGAATTGAAGATGTCTAGTTTAATGAAGAGAAGGACGAGGGGGGACATGATAGCAGTGTTCCATTATCTCAGGGGCTGCTACAAAGAAGAGGGAGCCAAGCTATTTTCCAAAGCGCCCGAAGGCAGGACAAGAAGCAATGGATGGAAACTAGCCGAAGAGAGAAGCAATCTAGAACTAAGGAGAAACTTCCTGACAGTTAGAACAATTAACCAGTGGAACAACCTGCCTCCAGAAGCGGTGAATGCTCCAACACTGGAAGTTTTTAAGAAGAGACTGGACAGCCATTTGTCCGAAATGGTGGAGGGTTTCCTGCCTGAGCAGGGGGTTGAACTCGATGACCTCCAAGGTCCCTTCCAACATCATCGTCGTCATCATCATCATCATCATCATCATCATCATCATTATGGATCATTGCACAGTCAGCCAGATGTTCAGACTGGATTTGGCATTTTGTCTACCTATCGAGTCCTTACTCAGGACCTGGGATAGGCAGATGTGGATGTTTGATGGTATTACAGATATCATCGCAGGATGGAAGCAGTCCCTAGTAAGGCTGCCTTTTGCAATTGACTAATAGCAAATTTGTCAATGCCAATGGTGTTTAAGTGGTGCTCCAGTTGTTTTGGGATTGCACCCAAGGAGCCTATGACTATTGGTACTACCCTTGCTTGCTTTTGCCACAGTCTTTCTATTTCTATTTGTAGGTCTTTGTATTTTGTTATCTTCTCCAGTTCTTTCTCGTCTATTCTGCTGTCTCCAGGCACTGCCACGTCCACTATCCAGACTTTTTTGTCTTTCTTATCGACAATTGTTAAGTCTGGGGTGTTATGTTGCAGGTGCTTGTCTGTTTGAATTCTGAAGTCCCAGAGCAGTTTAATTTTATCATTTTCTATGACTTTCTCTATTTTATGATCCCACCAGTTTTTGCTTACAGGCAAATGATATTTTTGCAGATCTTCCAATGCACCATTGTTGATTATTATTATTATCGATCATCGCACAGTCAGCCAGATGTTCAGACTGGATTTGGCATTTTGTCTACCTATCGAGTCCTTACCCAGGACCTGGGATAGGCAGATGTGGATGTTTGATGGTATTACAGATATCGTCGCAGGATGGAAGCAGTTCCTAATAAGGCCGCCTTTTGCAATTGACTAATAGCGAATTTGTCAATGCCAATTGTGTTCAAGTGGTGCTATTATTATTATTATTATTATTATTATTATTTTAAAGTCCACTTTGGTTTTGAACGAATAACTTAATGAATTACTGCCTACACGTATGGAGTAGAATAAGACAGCAGCATAAGAAATGTCAATGCCTAAAAAAAGTTACAAAGTTCAGCTCATACGGTACCTGTACAAATAGCCGTTCAAAGGCTAGAAAGTTGTCCCATTTGGCGTTCTGAGGGTCTTTTAGAGTCTGTACAACAGCCAGCGCAATCTGCAGAAGCCCACAATGATTTTCAAGAGCGTCAATTTTCTTCTTGAAAAGCTGGATATATGTGTGAAGCTGATCAGGGGTGACTCTCCCTACGATGCAGGGGAAAATATATATATTTATATATATTACAGTCGTTCTCAAGAATATAGAAATAAAGCAAATAGAAAATGTAACCCATGTCTAGATACATTTAGGCAATATTTTTTATGCAGGAAATAATATTTTTCATTTGTTCAATGATTCTTTTCCCCCTATATCATCACGGCTTTCTTGTAACACTATAAAAACGTAATTCCTCAATAATTGTTAGATGCCTTTCAAGATGTGAATCAGTGCACATCTCCCAAAGTCCCTTCCTTTTTTAAATTATAATAAACCACCTGTGGAAGGAAGGAAGGAAGGAAGGAAAGGAGGGAGGGAGGGAAGGAAGGAAGGAAGGAAGGAAATACACTAATATAGGCCAACAACAAAAAGCAGTATGTCTGTGAGTCCATTACTAAGTGATGATTCTCAGGGACAACAGAAGGATGAATTCTGTAAAAAACAACAACTGTTTTTGGTGTTCCAAAATGAATAAATCCAGAGCGATAGTACAGTGGAAATCACATGTGTTGGTTTGTTCCTTGATACATTATTATCTTTTGTTTTGCTTAAATATTATCCAAAATCTTTGTTCTGGAAGCCCAACTCGGAAAAGTTAATAAGATTGCAAGGAACAAAATGTCTTGATCATTACGGCTTACAATATTTCATTGACTGAATTAAAGACAAGGATGTCCATTCTTCTACTAATCATGTTAAAAGTTATTTATGATACACCCATTTGAACTGCCTGGATCTCCTGATTTCCCTGGCACTTGACAGTACAGTGGTCCAGAATGCAGTGGTAAGAGCAATAGATGTGCGTGCTTTATTATGCTCCTGTGAACCATTTTTTATTAGCAGTCTTCTAGGTACAATTCAAAATACTGGTTATCTCCTATAAGCCCTTCACGGGACAAGTCCAACTGATTGGAGGGACCACCTGTCTCCAGCTGTCCTATGAGATTGGGCAGAGTGGGCATGCTTTGAGTCTCATCAGTTAAACAATGATGCCTTGCAGGACCCAAGGAGCATACTTAGTTATAGTATCTGCCCTCTGGAATGATAGCCTTCAAAGATCTGGATGGTTCCCACCCTGATGATATTCAGGAAGCTACTGAAGACCTGGTTATTCTCCTATGCCTGGGTGGTGGCCTGAAGATGGAGCCCTGTTGAATAAGGATTGCTTATACCAGGGTTCTCAACCTGTGGGTCGGGATCCCATTTGGAGTCGAACGACCATTTCACGGGGGTCGCCAAACAACGCAGTCCGCCATTTTCCCCCCCTTTTCCTTAGCTGTGCTACTCCCTTTTATTCTATTGGCTTTTGAAAGCCAATAGAACAGACTCTCTTGAATAGAGTCTAATTCTATTGGCTTTCAAAAGCCAGTAGGAATTGTCCAGGCTGTCTCTGCCCTGCCGAGCCCGCCAAAAGTCCCATTCTGCAAACGGTGCTGCACCAGTTGAGTAGTCCTCGACTTACGGCTGGTTGAGTAATCCTCGACTTACGACCGGTTGGGGGTCGTGGCATTAAAAAGGTTGAGAACCACTGGCTTACACTGTATGTCTGACTCAGGTCACTTAAGGTTGTTTTGGTATTGTAAAGCTGCCAAGAATCAAGAGGGAATCAGCTCCAAACTGCAAGAATGAACAAGCAAAAAAATAATAATATTTCCTTAATAATCTATGCCCTGAGTCTATTGATTCGTTCCATGTTTTGGCATGACTATCTGCCAAATGTAACTACTGTATCAGGAAATATTCATGGTATTAATCATGCTTGGAGGGAGAAGGGGGAACTTTACTACAGGCTCCCCATAATTGTTAGAGAATGCTGTCCAGAAAACTCCTTCCTGACTTCTAAACAGCTATGGAGAACATCACTATAGGCTTTAATTTATTTGGCTTCATATGCTGTACACTTTAGCTCAAAAACAGCACGCTGCATACATCAGATCCTTTGAACTGTCAAAAACTAAAGCCATCTTGTAGAACATTTCATACTAAATATGATTACTCAGTGTTTCTGCTCTCTTTATCTAATTTATGCTTTTTTCCTCACTAGCACCAAGTACATATATTCCCATATATACAGTATATATATTCCCATATATACTGTAATAAAGGCATATATATAACAAAGAGTCATAAAAACAAATCAAGGCAGCCACAACACACACCATACTCCTTCCTCCTCCTATTTTCCTCACAACAAGCCTATGAGGTGAGTTGGGATGAGAAAGAATGGCCCAAGGTCTCCCACCCAGTTTTCATGCATAAGATGGGATTAGAACTCATAATCTCCTGACTGGTACCTGAACCGCAAACTGGCTGTTTTGTGCTCTGACATAAAACTCCCTAAATCATGGCATCCGGCCCTCTCAATTCCCGGCAAATAGATGGGGAAGAAATGGAGGTAGTGACAGATTTTATCTTCCTGGACTTCAAGACCCCCGCAGATGGGGACTGCAGCCAAGAAATTAAAAGACGCTTGCTCCTGGGGAGGAAAGCTATGGCAAATCTAGACAGCATACTAAAAAGCAGAGACATCACCCTGCCAAGAAAAGAACGTATAGTCCAGGCCATGGTTTTCCCAGTTGCAAGGTATGGCTGTGAAAGTTGGACCATAAGAAAAGCTGAGCGCCAAAGAATTGAGGCCTATGAACTATGGTGCTGGAGAAGATTCCTGCGAGTCCCCTGGACTGCAAGGCAATCAAACCGGTCAGTCCTAGAGGAAATCAACCCTGACTGCTCTTTAAAAGGCCAGATCTTGAAGTTGAAACTCAAGTACTTTGGCCACCTAATGAGAAGGAAGGACTCCCTGGAGAAGAGCCTAATGCTGGGAAAGATGGAGGGCAAGAGAAGAAGGGGATGATAGAGAATGAGGTGGCTGGATGGAGTCACTGAAGCAGTAGGCGTGAGCTTAAATGGACTCCAGAAGATGGTAGAGGGCAGGAAGGCCTGGAGGAACGTTGCCCATGGAATCGTAATGGGTCGGATACGACTTCGCAACTAACAACAACAAATCCATTAATTCAGGGTAGAGTTGGGTGACTGGATGGAGTGGAGCATTTGTTAGCTGGATGCCTTTCCTGATGCCATGCAGAGTTCACAGTAGATTTTTTTTTCTTTGCGCCCCAGGAAAGAAACATCTATTGCTACCTAGGATTGAACTCTCAACCTTCTGAGTGGGAGGCAAGTGTCTTTACCGCTAGGCCAACATGCCACTCCATGGTTGGCTGGAGCATTCTAGGAGCTGAAGTCCACTCATTTTAAAGTTGCTAAGATTGAGAAACATCAAGTTAAAGTGACAACATTTGTTCACTCTCAAAAGCCATTTTGCAAAGACATGCCTAAATGGGGTTTATGTAATGTTCAAACTAAATTTCCAATATGTATTTCCTCATGATGGATGTGGTACAGAGATACTTGAGTTCCAACTCAAACATTCAAAACTGTTGGGAATATGAGGCTCATATAAATGTTTCTTGTTTCCCCCTTTCGCAATGTCCAAAGATGGTCACAATTTGTTCTTTTTTCACATCTTGGATGTTCTTTCATGTTCTGAACAAAGTTCAGACGTACCTTATCTCCATAAATCTGTTCTTTCCTTTGAGATTTTTTCCCCCTCCCTATGTACTTACAACATTGGTTAAAGGCTTTACAGTAGCTTTACTCCTGCCTCTTGAACAAAGGCTGCTGTACCAATCTATTGTTACTGTAGGCTAAATCTGCCTTGTGCTTTTTAATGAGATCCTTTAGCCTTTTGTGTTTCATTCCACATAGTTTACTAAGAACTAAGGAGTCCCTTTTCCATTAGTGGAGGAGGGCAATAGAAAGGAGCATTTGTTCTTCTTATCCTCCCGGTGGTTCAGCTTTTATCATTCAGCATGCCAATAAAGGGACATAATAAAGGGATTCAGGCTCCCTTCAGATTTACTGTCCCATTAAAACTGCCAAGCAAGGCAGGCTACTTCTGAAGTCAAACCACTACATTGATGGCAAAGCATCTTTGGTTGCTCAATAATATGCTAATAGCAAAGCTTCAAACAAAAGCATTATGAATTATCACTTTCAGAAGCTCTCCATGCATCTGATCACCAAAAGAGGACCTGAAAAAAAGGAGGTTTGGCCAAATAGCAGCAGTATTTACACTGAATTTTTTTTCTTTCTTTGTTTTAGGAATGTCCTTCTCATCTTTCTCACTTCTCATCTTTTCTACTACCTTCTTCTATTGATATATTATGATTTATCAATTGTTGTTTGTATCTTATGATTTATGATCTATGACTTATCACTTTGGTTTTTTTTTTTATGTACCTTGAGAGCTTATGCACCGGAGAATTCTATTCTGCGTTCTGCATTCTGCATTCTTCTATTCTATTCTATTCTATTCTATTCTATTCTATTCTATTCTATTCTATTCTATTCTATTCTATTCTATTCTATTCTATTTTCTATTGTATCCTATCCTATTCTATATTCTATATTCTATATTCTATATTCTATATTCTATTCTATTCCTGTCCAGTCCAGTCCAATCCAACCCAACCCAATCCAATCTAATCCAATCCAGTCTACTATTCTACTCTATTCCCTATCCCTATCGTATCCTGTCCTGTTCTTAAGAATATTAAAAAATAGTGTAAGTGGTCCAATCCTGGATTTTGCTGATCAGGACTGAATGACAAGGACTTAGGCATTTGTTTCTAGAAAAGAGATGAGCTATCAAAGGAAGAGATTGTTTGTTGTATTTTAAGATGGTGATAAGTTACACCAATGATGGCAACTCTTTTAGAGACTGAGTGCCCCAAAACTGCCCCGCCCTGCCCGCCTGCAGGACCACCCACCAGCTCCACGGCCTGCCGCAGATCGCCCAGGCGGCCTAGCAGACGCCACACCCTCTGCCTGCACCCCGCAATATCAACTGTGCGTGACTAGGCGTGAGGGTGGAGTCTTGTCTCTGCTAGCCGGCTGCCATCTCGTTGGCTGCACTGCTTCGCGCGGGCCATGCTTGGGGGTGACTCTCTGGGGGGGGGCTGCTGGTGAGGAGGGGGCCGTGGGGGGAGGCGGGGCTGGGGCGATGGCGTGCATGCCCACAAAGAGTGCTCTGACTGCTGCCTCTGGCACATATGCCATAGGTTCGCCACCAGTGAGTTACACTTATATTTGTGATAAAGGGGGAAGCCATTTTTATATATTTTTCTTTTTCATTTCTGCATTTTCTATTTTTTTTATTCCTTTATATTTTTTTAGTTTGTATTACTTTTTATTGTTAAATGGAAATTTTTAATCAAATTGCTATTTTTTTTAAAAAAAGAAAAAAGAAAATTCAGTTAATGCAGGAATCCCACATGACCTGATTACTTCAGGGCTCAGCTTTGTTACTCAATGATTTCTCAGCCTGCACAATTGCTAAACCCTTTGAGGGACAGATGCTTTCCAGCAACACAATCTATTTCTTGTTATATTTCAGGCCTCAACTACCCTTCTGAGACTTCAGATCTTTTGTATCGTAACACGAGTCTTTGAAATCCGTTGAATGTTGAAATCTGGGTCACTGTCCAAATGATCATGATTTCTTTACTATATTTGAACAGATCAGGCTTGCAGGCAGAGAGACACATTCATGTTTTGTTGTAACATAGCCTTATCCAAGCTGAACGTTTCCCAGTGAATCTATAATTCTCAGAAATTTCAGCTACTAACTGGGATTTCTGGAGCGTTTTATTACCAAAATATTTGGATGGCAATATGAGATTGGGATAGGTTTCAAAAGCATGTCATTCCTAGCAGAGCATGCTATTGTTTTCAGATGTTGTAATGTTATAGTTTCAATTATATTCTATACGCTTTTGAGATTATCACAATTGTAATGGAGAGAGTTGGTAATCAATGTTATAAATAACAACAAATAAAGTTGCTTCTGGAAGCAGCAAAGATTCTACATTGATCTAATACACTGGTTTTTGATTCCCCTCACCCACCCCAGAATTGAAATTTTTGTAAATTTATGAGTTCTTCTATTTCCATCCTCGAAACATCTCCCAAAGAATAAAACTGTGCTGCTCAAATTTGGCTCTTTGTTACTAAATTCCAGGGGGACAATCTTAGGGATACATTGGATGGGATGGGATGCTAGGTGACTTCATAAAGCCCCTTGGTTTGTCCACATTTGCACAACATCTTAGATTGGGAGGAGAGAGTTTCCATCAAAGAACGGTTGCTGGAATTGGGTATGTCTAGTTTGGTGAGGAGAACGACTAGGGGTGACATGATAGCAGTGTTCCAATATCTCAAGGGCTGCCCCAAAGCGCCTGAAGGCAGGAGAAGAAGCAACGGATGGAAACTAACCAAAGAGAGAAGCAACCTAGAACTAAGGAGAAATTTCCTGACAGTTAGAACAATTAGCCAGTGGAACAACCTGCCTCCAGAAGCGATGAATGCTCCAACACTGGAAATTTTTAAGAAGAGACTGGACAGCCATTTGTCCGAAATGGTATAGGGTTTCCTGCCTGAGCAGGGGGTTGGACTAGATGACCTCCAAGGTCCTTTCCAACTTTATTATTATTATTATTATTATTTAGCATTATTGATTTTTTATTGCTTACCATCACCCACTATCCTGTTCTAATAGATGTATGATATTATTTTGTTGGTTGCTTTATCTGGTCACTCTAGCTTTTCTTTATTTTGTAGCGGAGCTTTTAAATGTATTTCCATCTCAATCACAATATTTAGAAAAGGAATGTCATAATTTTTTTATAAACATCCTTTTCCCATAAAAGCCTTTTAACCCATTTATCAGAAATTGGCCTTGGTGCTTGGTGTGTGTGTACATGTGTGTGAGTATACGTATAAAGTTATATATGTATATACAGGTAGTCCTCAACTTATGACCAGAACTGAGCCCCAATTTTTTGTTGCTAAATGAGACATTTGTTAAGTGAGTTTTGTGGAACAACCTGCCTCCAGAAGTGGTGAATGCTCCAACACTGGAAGTTTTAAGAAGAGACTGGACAAGCTTTTGTCTGAAATGGTATAGGGTTTCCTGCCTGAGCAGGGGGTTGGACTAGAAGACCTCCAAGGTCCCTTCCAACTTTTATTATTATTATTATTATTATTATTACTACTACTACTACTACTACTACAACTACTACTACTACTACTACTACATTCTAAGCATTTTCATTTCCATGTTCACATATTGGCAATGCATATTATTGTGAACAAAGTAAAAACATCTGCATAAAAGAAACCTTAACATATTTTGCCTCACATTATACTATTAGTAGAACTGCATTTTCCAATTCTAGTTATTATTATTACTATTACTACTACTACTACTACTACTACTACTACTACTACATTCTAAGCATTTTCATTTCCATGTTCACATCATAATGGCAATGCATATTATTGTGAACAAAGTAAAAGCATTTGCATAAAAGAAACCATTAACATATTTTGCCTCACATTATGCTATTAGTAGAACTGCATTTTCCAATTCTAGTTGCCCGAATTTTCTGCAGAGGTTGACATCAAGAGGAATTTATAACATCAGCATGATTAAAAGGTGCTAAAGCTTTCAGTGCAGTAAAGAAAAGCAATACTCTATCAGGAAAAAAAAGAAGCTGCATTGGCCAATTAAAAGACTTTATACCAGGGGTAGGCAACCTTGGCTCTTTTGTGACTCGTGGACTTCAACTCCCAGAATTCCTGAGCCAGCATGGCTCAGCTTGGAAAGCTCTCCCTTTCCCCTCAGCATGGCTGGCTCAGGAATTCTGGGAGTTGAAGTCCACGACTCATAAAAGAGCCAAGGTTGCCTACCTCTGGCCTAGGCCGCTTTATGACTCGTGGACTTCAAGTCCCAGAATTCCTGAGCCAGCATGGCTCAGCTTGGAAAGCTCTCCCTTTCCCCTCAGCATGGCTGGCTCAGGAATTCTGGGAATTGAAGTCATAAAAGAGCTGAGGTTGCCTACCTCTGGCCTAGGCCTAGGCCACTTTATGACTCGTGGACTTCAACTCCCAGAATTCCTGAGCCAGCATGGCTCAGCTTCGAAACCTCTCCCTTTCCCCCCAGCATGGCTGGCTCAGGAATTCTGGGAGTTGAAGTCCACGACTCATAAAAGAGCCAAGGTTGCCTACCCCTCCTTTATACTATTTTCTCCACATGTACCTTGCTATTCTTTTCTAGACTTGAAAAAGAATCTAAAACTCAACTGGACCCATTGTTCCCTCTCTCCCATAACAGTATATAAACAAAAGGGGTAAAACCATCAATAACAACTTAGATACAAGTGGTCCTCGACTTACGGACACCACGGAGCCCAACATTTCTGTTGCTAAAGAAGACATTTGATAAGTGAATTTTGCCCCATTTTAAAAACTTTCTTGCCACAGTTGTTCAGTGAATCACTGCAGTTGTCAAGTTAGTAAACCGGTTATTAAGTGAACCTGGTTTCCCCACTGATTTTACTCGTCAGAAGGTCGCAAAAGGGGATCACATCAACCCTGGGACACTTCAACCGTCATAAATACGAGTCAGCTGCCAAGCATCTGAATTTTGATCACGTGACCACAGGGATGCTTCAACGGTCGTAAGTGCGTAAAACAGTCATAAGTTACTTTTTTCAGTGCCGTTGTAACGTCAAACGGTCACTAAATGAACTGTTGTAGATCGAGGACTACCTGTACATATAATCCTATTTATGTATTAGAAAAAAGTATGGAGACAAACTCTCTCTAATCTTCTGAGCCAGGGACAGGAAACGATCTTGTGGTATTTTGAGAAGGTCTACACTTCTCAACCTTGACAATTTTAAGGCATTTGGACTTCAACTCCCAGAATTCCACAGCCAGCACGGCTGGCTGTGGAATTCTGGGAGTTGAAGTCCACATGCTTTAAAATTGTCAAGGTTGAGAAACACTGGTCTACAGAAATAGGATATGTGAAGACTTTTTATTTCCTCTTGGTCCATACCTTGCTCCCAAAATAGAATCCCCCATTTCTTCCATTTTGGAGGTAAGGCTATACATTTCCATATCTCTAGATCAGGGGATATCGGTGCAAGACTCACAGAGAACAGGGCAGGCCCCAAACTGTTTCCCTGCAATTTCACTTCAAAGTTCTATCTACCATATTAAAAATAACGCTTTGAAGTTTCATATGAAAATTTGAGTATTTTAATGGGGGGGTGGGTGGGGAGTTGTGCAGGACCAGAAATATTAAGTAGTCCAAGACACAAGACAATACTGTTCTTACGCAAAACATTTTTCCAGTTGCATGCTACTATAATATTAGAGAGAGGGAGAGCAAAGAAATCAACGTGAAATATTATGAACATTATGGGAAATATCCTTCAAGAAAATTCCAGTGGTTTAGGACTGTACATCCCGGACAAACGATTCATCATACAATTTCTCCAAGCTGATACAATACATATGTTTCAGCACATTGTTAATCATGCAGATGAATACAACTGTGTAACTGGTCTAATTCCCTTAAAAACAAAACAGATTGTTCACTTCTGCAGAATCCACAGAATTGGTCTCCATGAAACAAAAGCATTAAAAACCCTAATTAGTTCAGAAAATTTAGCTTCCTGTTCAAGGAGAATCATTCCCTCCTTATCAAATGGTGAAGTTACGCTACTTCTAGTACATTGGCACGACAGTTAGTTAGCGGGCATAAGGGCTCACCCATGCTCATCTTGATTGGCAAATTTTCCCGGCTTGCAGCTTCTACTAAGTGTCTTCTAACTTCCATCAAACTTTCCTTCTGTTTTAGATTCATTAAGGACTCCCACAGAGCTCTAGCAGCTGGTTCTCTGTTAACAAAAGGAAAAATGCCCAAGTTTACATTAGCATCTGTTAAAAAAATTAAACAGGTTTTTCCTAACGTAGTGATTTCCATATTGCGGAATGCCTATGTATTTTAAAGTACAGAAATATTGTTCAACTTTTAAAACAACGGTTGCCCTGTTTTTGTTGATAACAGACTAGGAACCGATAACATATCTACAAGCATGGTTTTACTACAAACTTGAGGGTTTAGTAACAGCAACTGAAGTCGAAGGTCAGGTTGAAAACCAATAATTTTGATTTACTATCCCTGCTCTGTTTACCACTTAAAGACTGTTTTCCTAATTTACACTGAGCCAAAATTTCTAGCAATGTTCTTAAGGATTCTGATTTGAAAAATGAAAATATGCCGGACCGCAATTACCATGCATATGTGCTGCCTTGAGCATAAACATCACATTGTGAGGATTAGAGCCAGGGTTTTTCTAGAGCACCTTTTTTGGAAGAGTAAAAAAGCAAATAAAAACTTTCCGGGAAACATTTGGCTTTTATATATGAAATGGATTTTTTAAAAAACCCCGAATTTCCCTCTTGCTTGTTTTCATTTTTCAAAGACGTGAACCGTCCTGTGAAAATGGACTTGGGAAGGGATCCCAGTCAATCTTACTTACAAAAGGAGTTGTGCATGTTCACACTCAACTTTCTGACTCAACAACAACAAATATCAGTCCTGTTTGAACAAATCGTGTGTGATATACCTCATTGGTTTCTTTTTTAAAAGGCTTATATAGTAATAACACAATTTACTTTTAGACCAGTGGTTCTCAACCTTTCTAATGCCGCGACCCCATAATACAGTTCCCCATGTTGTGGTGACCCCCAACCACTTATACATCACCGGGTGCCAGGGGCGTGGCCAAAGAAAAGGGGGAAAAAATGGCGGACAGCCTTGTTTGGCGACCCCGGTGAAATGGTCGTTCGACCCCAAATGGGGTCCCGACCCACAGGTTGAGAACCACTGTTTTAGACAGATGAACAGACTACAATTGCATCCATCTCTAATGCAATCTCAAATTTATTCCAAAACACCACATAATTATCTTTGCAACTTCTTCATTTTAAAAAAGAAATATATGAAAAGCAAATAAATCCAGCAAGGAATACTAATTTCATTTACACTGACCGTTCTGAAGTGAATGGTATTACCGTAGTGACTTTGTTTTATAGTAACTCTTAATAAATCAACTAGGGTGACTTCTATGTGCTTTAGGTCAGGGGTCCCCAACCCCCGGTCCATGAACCAGTACCGGTCCGTGGCATGCCAACCGGTCCGCACAATCAAAGCCCCATCCGCGGGATGCAGGCAGCACACAAAACCACACACTCTTCGATCCGTGCAAAAACCTTTCTCCACGGAACCAGTCCCTGGTGCCCAAAAGGTTGGGGACCTTTGCTTTAAGTAACTTGTTAAGATAGACATTCTATATACAGCAATGGGGAATAACCTTGTGAACCCCAGAAAGACAGTTCTGAATTCACCAGCTGTTTGCAGCAATTCTTCTATGTTAATTTGCAAGGTCTGTGGTCAAGCTTTAGTACTTTCTGTTTAATTTTAGTTAGCTATTTTTATCAATGAGTTAAAGGCTTTGTCAGTTCGTGGGCCCAAAATCCCTGCTATTTTGTGGAAACAGAACTTATGCTGTGAAACATGCACCAACTTTACACGCAGACATGTAAGCATCTTTGTTTTCCACCAGACAAGAAATAGTCTGATGGAACATATCACTTGGATTTAACCGTAGTGACTTAAGCTATTTTCCAAAGCACCTGAAGACAGGATGTCTAGTTTAATGAAGAGAAGGACGAGGGGGGACATGATAGCAGTGTTCCATTATCTCAGGGGCTGCCATAAAGAAGAGGGAGCCAAGCTATTCTCCAAAGCGCCTGAAGGCAGGACAAGAAGCAACGGATGGAAACTAATCAAGGAGAGAAGCAACCTAGAACTAAGGAGAAACTTCCTGACAGTGAGAACAATTAACCAGTGGAACAACCTGCCTCCAGAAGCAGTGAATGCTCTAACACTGGAAGTTTTTAAGAAGAGACTGGACAGCCATTTGTCCGAAATGGTGTAGGGTTTCCTGCCTGAAGCAGGGGTTGGACTAGATGACCTCCTAGATCCCTTCCAACTTTACTACTATTACTATTACTAACCCTAAATGTCTCCGAATGCTCCATATATACTACTGGCGTGAGAGGGATCTGATTGTTATTTCAAAAGACCCAGAGGCTCTGCATCTGTATTCTGATTGACTTTACTAGAGCAAATTGACTGGGTTTTGGCTATAAAAGAATTCTGGAGGATATCAGCCTGGGGAAAATTTTCCAAAGGAAAATTCTGAAAGCCCAAAAAGATCATTTTTCAGAATATTTGCCAAGTTCTGAGGTCATTTAACAAAGTAAAGGGGATTCAGGCCAGGAACATTTTTAGCAAATGATAGTGAGTAGTTCCCAAAGATTTTAAGGATGTTTTCTGAAGATTACAATATGTTACATCAACATTTGGTTTTGTGCTTTACTTCAAATGATGTCCCTTGCCAACATAAATTCTGTTTCAAGAAGCCTCTTAAATAGAATTTATCCTGATCTGAACTAAATGCCAACTGGAGTTTGCTGGAAACTCACAGAAAACTTATGATAAGCTGAAACTGTTTTATTGAAAAATGGAGTTATATGCTGAATAGCGATTATGCTTTAATTAAATGTAAAACAAAATTGTTCTAGGGAAATATGTTTATATCCCTGTGAAATGAACTTTCCAAAAAGAAGTAGTACATATGTGAATTCTGGCATAGGCTGGTCATATTTACAGATTCACACAATAAAGCTACGTCTTAGTCAAAGTAATAAGAAAGGGATCGTGATAAGAAAATGGCAAAATATAGCACTGTCTCTGCATATACATTTCCAATATTCTGTCATTCTCCATTGCAGGCAAGAAACAAAAGCAGATAAGTCTTTCCACTCAGGAAAAGATTTGATTCTTAATTAATCTAGCAAAGCAAGGACTGAAGCTGGTTCATGTCAAGCATCCAAAGTGGCAAATATAGGCTTTTAATTTCACCAATCAAAGCAAATGATTGCTTTTTATTTCTTTGGAACTGTACTGAAATGTGGGTAACATTTTTATTGCATAAAAGCATTAGAAAAAACAAGTATATACATTGTTGTTGTTGTTGTTAATTGTGAAATCATGTCCGACCCATCGCGACCCCATGGACAACGTTCCTCCAGGCCTTCCTGTCCTCTACCATCTTCTGGAGTCCATTTAAGCTCACGCCTACTGCTTCAGTGACTCCATCCAGCCACCTCATTCTCTGTCATCCCCTTCTTCTATTGCCCTCCATTTTCCCCAGCATTAGGCCCTTCTCCAGTGAGTCCTTCCTTCTCATTAGGTGGCCAACATATTTGAGTTTCAACTTCAGGATCTGGCCTTCTAAAGAGCAGTCAGGGTTGATCTCCTCTAGGACTGACCGGTTGGATCGCCTTGCAGTCCAAGGGACTCACATGAGTCTTCTCCAGCACCATAGTTCAAAGGAGTATATACATTACATAAACTTATTACCAATGATTCTTTATTAAAGAAAAGCACATACATTAAAAAGCTAACAAAACATGCCTATTTACTCTCCCCCTTCCCATTTATCTCTTGAAAATATTCAAATTCAAAAGATACGATCAAGTCCTTTTCTTTGTTTTTACAAACAAACAGTTGACACTTAACAAATGTAAGTAATTCACTGCTGCAAATCAGGTGTTTCTCCAATGTCACAAACAGCCACTCCTAAGTACAAAATATCCACCATTCTTGATGGCTTGGTAGAGTCATAATGCTTGTGTATATTGACAGGATGAATATCTTAATAACAATTCTTATCGTAGGGCGAAAATACTGAATTGCTGACAGAGAAGAAAAATCATTTCCAGCTATTATTAGACAACTGGATGATGCAATGAGATGAATCTGAAAAGTAACATACTGAAGGTAATAGCGTTTGATAGATTTAAGTCAAGAGTTAAAAATGGAGTAAAAAAATTGTACATTATTCACAAATGAAAAAATGGATGAGGTGATCCGATGGCCTGACTGAACTGTATATCTCCAGCCCAAATGATGTAGCTGTTTATGTGGCAGGATTGGATATGTCTAGTTTAATGAAGAGAAGGACTTGGGGTGACAGGATAGCAGTGTTCCAATAATTGAGTGGTTGCCACAAAGAAGAGGGAGTCAACCTATTCTTCAAAGATTTGAAGGCAGGAAAAGAAGCAACGGATGGAAACTAACCAAGGAGAGAAGCAACGTAGAACTAAGGAGGAATTTCCTGATACTTAGAACAATTAACCAGTGGAACAACCTGCCTCCGGAAGCGGTGAATGCTCCAACACTGGAAGTTTTTAAGAAGAGATTGGACAGCCATTTGTCTGAAATGGTATAGGGCAGTGATGGCGAACTTTTTAGAGACTGAGTGCCCAAACTGCAACCCAAAACCCACTTTGCATCGTCAAGTGCCGGGTGGGCGTGGCCAATGGGTGGGCGTGGCCCATTGGGTGGGCATGGCTACCGTGGTAATGGCAGACTGGGTGGGACTAAAAAGTTCAATCAATCAATTCCAACTTTGCAAGATCTTTTTTTTTTTCTTGCGAGAAGTTGAAATTGATTGATTGACTGAACCTTTTTTTTTTTTTTTGCACACGGCGGCGGAGGCCTAAAGCGAAAAGGTTTTATAAAACCCAGCTGAAGGCCTAGGACTGAGGCGACAGCACGCATGCCCACAGAGAAGGCTCTGAATGCCGCCTCTGGCACCCGTGCCATAGGTTCGCCACCACTGGTACAAGGTTTCCTGCTTAAGCAGGGGGTCAGACTAGATGACCGCAAAGGTACCTTCTAACTCTGTTATTCTGCTATATTGAATATATAGCTGTATACAGCTTATATATCCATTCTGTCGTCTGCTGCTGAAGTCTCATT